TTATTTATTTATATTTTTTTTTTAAATAGAAAGGCTGTGCACAAAGCTTCCCCTTTCAGCTGATACTCAAATGCGGCGACTTCTGGGCCGGGATGTTTGAGCAGGGCGTGACCATGCGACAGGAAGCAAAAGCAAACACATTTATCAATTTCCAGCCTTTCCCAACTCTGATGTCATGCGGAGAAAACTCGCCAGGGAGGAGGAGAGGCGTTGCCTCCGAGGGTCCTGGGGTGCAGATCCCTCCGGGCCAGCTCTGGCCACTGCAATTGCCGTGTGATTGGGTGCAGGCAAGGTCTGACCCCAGGCGCTTCCGCCAGGGGCCGTGGGGCTTTTCTGGAACCACAAGCGGCCCAGGCTCACTTGTACTTTTCCTGTTCTATTCCTTTCCTATTAGGGAAATAGGAAAGGATTTTCCTATTCTAGTCCTATCCTAATAGGATTCCTATTTTTCCCTTTTTTTTCCTCCTATTTTTCCCTTTTTTTTCCTCCTATTTTTCCCTTTTTTTCCTCCTATTTTTCCCTTTTTTTTCCTCCTATTTTTTCCCTATTTATTTTTCCCATTTATTTTTCCCTATTTATTTTCCACCCTATTTTTTCCTTTTTTCCCCTTTATTTTTCCCTATTTTCCCCTATTAATTTTTTCCCTATTATTTTCCCTATTTTTTCCCTATTTTTTTCTTTATTTTCCCCTATTATTTTTTTCCCTGTTATTTTCCCCTATTTTTCCCCTATTTTCCTTCTCCCGATTATTTTTCTTGTTTTCCTTTTCCCCATTCATTTTCCTGTTTTCCTTTTCCCCATTCGTTTTCCTGTTTTCCTTTTCCCCATTCGTTTTCCTGTTTTCCTTTTCCCCATTCGTTTCCCTATTTTCTCATTTTCCCCATTTTTTCCCCTATTTTCCTATTTCCCCTATTTCCCTTTCCCTATGGACTGTGTTCACCACTCCGCTGTCCTCCTCAAGTCCTTCGTACCCCACAGAACATCTATGGTCGACTCAGTCCCTGTAGAGCTCACTCTGCCTTAGCTGAGCCTGGACCATCTCTCCTCCCCATGCTCCCCTGTGACTTTGGTGCAGAGCCTGTTCAGATGCAAAGCTGCTCTTGCCACTGACCTTTTTGAGCTCCATGAAGGTGTACTCCATGCCGCTACAGAGGCGAATTTCATCCTCGTATCTAAGGAGAGTGAACAAAGCAGTAAGAAATTGCACGTGGTGAAAGCCTCTGGGATGCTTAAGGTTGTTTTGCTGGCCCCAAAAAGTGCTGGTACCAAAGCTTTCTGCTTTTACCATGATGTCCCACCTCCGTAATGCACCCTGCACAGCTTGTCTCTTATGTGTGGACATCTTGGACAAGCGAGAGGATAACAAGCCACCACACGCCAGCTGCTCTGTAGTAACACCATGAGCCCTTTAAGTCTGAAGAGCTCTGGAGTAGAGAGGAGGTAGCTTTAATTCTAATTTAATTTGAGGGCTAAGCAGCCTCGGGTTACTTCACATTTGCCACAGAAATTGAGAGTAGGCATGGAGAAGTGGGGTGTGGTGAGCTATTCTGTATGAAACCTAGTTTTCTGCCCAAATATTCCTAATTTTTTACCCTAAAAATTCCTCTTCTGTTTCTTTCAGGTATCCTCAGCATTTAATTTCCAGAATCTGAGAGTCTTCTCAGGGGAGAAAACTTTGGCTTGTGCAAATACTGGCCTGGTGTCATAAACTTACCCGAAATGTAGCACAATTTGTCAGGTAACACGGGACCTGGCAAAGCAATTTGTGGAAAACAGTGCCCACAGACAAGAAGGTAACAAAAACTGGAGGGAATAAGGTGGAGTCCTAATGGCTAAATATCCAGCAGAGGAACCAACCCCGCAGGTGCCTAAAACAGGTTTGATAAGGCAAGACCAGGGTAGCAAAGTCCAGGGGCAAATGCATTTTTGATGGCCAGCAGCTGTGAGAGGGTGACTTAGGGATGCCCCAACCCTCATTGGCTTTGGGATGAGCAGGGCTCCTCTTATCCCAATGTGCACGTAGCGTTTTCAGGTTGGGAATTAAACCTTTCAGTGCTGCTTAGAGATGTCACCAAATTGATGTGAGAAAGGCTGAGACCCTTGGGAATGAGGTAAAATAAATGATATATCCTAACAGAGTGCTGCTGATAAAATCAGGAATGAGAGCCATATTCAGTTGTTTGGTGGTCTGGTGCATCTTCACTCCAATTACCCTTGAGAGCCTTTTCTGCTGTTGTACAGACTTTTAGGAGTAAGAGGAGAAGGTATTGGGGACACAGCACAGGGGATCCCACTGCAGGACAAGAGGCTAAATCATGCTCAGGAACTGACCTGAAATATCAAACCCAGCTCCCTGGAGCTGTTTCTTCCTCGACAGAGGGGGCAGTGAGGGCACCTGAGAGCCATAGGCTCTACATTTAGGTTCCTCTTGAGTACCCCCATGGTGTTAAACTCGCCTTCTCCTTGCCTGCTTTAGCCCAGGTAGCGTGGCTAACGAGATTTACCTGTCTGGTTTCTCTGCTCTTTAGCTGGAATGTTAGCCATGCTGCCAGCAACTATGTACTGAGCTTAATTACAGCCTGCCACTCTTCCTTCATCCTCGTTGCGTTTCAGCCCAATCCCAGTCTGTCCCAGCCTGCCAGAGCAGCTTCGCGCATTGCCGGGCGCTGACATAATCTTGTGTATTGAGCAAACACCGCTCCTGCCTGAAAAGGAGCAGGCCCAGCCAGCCAAACGTGCTCACCACACGGCTCCGGATGGACCTGGCGGCCAGGAGATGACTCAGATGGGGATGGAGCATTCCACAAACACATTACAGCATTTATCCCTTTACAGATAATCCTCAAGCAGTCGTGCATTAAGGCGTAAATCCATCCCATCTCGATTCATGCACTTAAGATGCACTTGAGACAGGCGTCTGGTCGCCTTGGGCTCCTTCCACAGGCGGTGGAGCAAAACCAGAGGTGAACCAAATCTCAGGCAGGCTGTGTTCCTCTCTGGATGTGCCTTCAAGACTGTTTTAGGGTGAAGATACAGTGGTGGGATGGATTTGAGCCTGGTGGCGTGAAATTAAGTCACTCTTCCTCTTGTGGAGCAAGGAAATGGGGCAGGAAGCAGCTGGAAACCAACGGCAGAGGTAGAGGGGTGTTGACTGTCTGGTCTTCGGGTGGCAAGAGTTGTCTAATGCCTGGATCTCAGAAATGGGTCCCCTAAAGGCTGTAATGCCTTGTGTTTTCCTGCAGCATCTCCCCAGCGCCACAGCAGAGTAGGTCAGCACATGCAGAAATTCCCTGCCTTCCCGTTCAGATGGGTTTTTGCACATCTGGGGAGCTGAAGCAAACACTTGTGCAGATGTGCACCTCTGGCTGGTCCACCCCTATTTGGATATATTATGGTATTTGTCTTTTAGCTTGATTTCCTAAAGAAGCAGGGTTTGAGATCCTCTGCCAGCCTTCAGCTTGCTTTCCTGTCCCTTCTCTGTTCTCTGCATTTGGAGTCATTGTTCAATGGCAACCCCATTTGAGGAGGAGGAGCAATAGTCCTGTATGGTTTTTGGAAAGCAATCCCTGGATAAAAGCAGATTAATTAGGGCCTTACAGAGGAGCACTGATGGCAGATTTCACATCTTAAATGATCTGTTAGGCAGTAGCCTGCTCGGGTGGGCACTGTGTGCGTGATGTGTTATGTCTGGAGTGCTGCAGCTGGGATGAGAACATAACCAGTTATTAGCTTTTCCTCCCCCAAAAAATTTCCCTTGGGAAAAGAAACCTCCGGAGGAGTGGGAAGCCTCCAAAATTTGCATGGTGGAGGCAAGACCATTTGCTCCAGAAAAACAACTGGGCTGGGGCAGCCTTCTCGAAGGCGGCGTGCAGGACTCGACAGGGCCGGCGTGGGTTAGGACGGGCTTGGATCACTGCCTGGAGAAGGCTCAGCTGAAGCAGCCACGCTCTCCCCGTGAATCACAAACCCCTGGGAGCAGCACAGTGGATTGTCACTGTCACAGAAATCCACCTTGCGCTGGCTTTGGGTGTTAACAGCACCCAATGACCGGGTGGGTTTTGTGCTCAGGTCACCCCTTGGCAGGGTTTGTGCCTCGCAGCTCACAAATGGGAGGGAGCGGAAGGGGAAGGCTCCGCAAATGAAGGAAGAGGAGCAGGGTAATTTCTGAAGGCTGTTTTCCCAGGGCTGTGTAGTCCCACAAAGCGGGAACTCTTCTCCAGACCGATAGTTGGGCTGGTCAAAGCTGGTGCCACGCTGAGTCTCCTTATCTGGGGTGTGTGTTGGGTGTGGGGTGGGTCCTGTTCCTCTAGTCAGGGATTGAGAGGGATGTAGCATCCCTGTCACGTCTTATCCTGTTATCCAACTAGGTAGTAACTGTCCAGGAAAATCCAAAGGTAGGGGCAAACACACAGACAGTCTTTATCCTTAAGAAATCAGGCTGAAAAGTCAAGGATGTGCCAGGCGTAGGCAATTAATGAGGCAATTACTGTGAGTACAAACTGTGAGTAGATACGGGTGACTGATCTGGCATTGCTCCACTGGCCCAACCATTTTCCTCTCTGGGTTTTTTTTGGAATAAAGCAAGAAGTGTATTTTATAACTGCCACGCCGCAGTTACTTCCTTGGGGAAGTGCAAGGAAGACCAAGTGCAAGAGGGAGGACGGGTCTCAAGGTTTTTAGGACAAGGACTAAATAGCACAAAGCCACAATATATCCATAGCATGCATAGCAAAGCCAAAGCATCAGTGAGCCCAAGTCCTGTAGTGAAACCCACATCCAAATAAAGAGCAGACAGGCACCAGCTAGGAGGGATTTAGGTATTTCTAGATGCATGGGTATCACTGTGTCACTTCTTGAAGGATGCTAAGCACGGTGATCTCAGCATCGGGTCAAGAACTAAACTCTTAATTCCTATTCCTGCTCCGCCACCAGCTTGCTCTGTGAGCTCAAGTAGAACACCTCGCTGTGTCTCTGTTAATATGTCTGCTAATTGGAGCTATCAGCCCTTCTCTAATTTACAGACTCATTGAGTAGCTGGTTTAATCAAAGTCTGCAAAGATCCTTGGGCTAAATAGAGAGCACCGTTACTATTTAAGCATCACTTGGTACATCAGGTTTGGGGTATTACTGCGGCGATGTCCATCAGTACCAGCAGAGGGGCAGTCCCTCGGCATCACCGTGCTGGTTTGATGGTGCCCATACGTGGCTCTTTGCTACAAATCAGCACTGGGAGACTCCCGAGATCGTGTGTAGGCAGCTGGGTGTAACTGTAAGGGAAAGTATCTAATTGTGGATTCATCTGTGGTATGCAAATGACGCCGATAATACGAAAAGCTTTGTCTTCTTGAATGAGCCATGGCACATCTCAGATGCTCTTATCTGAAGATCTCAAAGCTCTTGGCAGAAACAGCAGTATAAGCACGTGGCAGCTGGTCCTCCCTGCACCTTTCAGCTGCCTCAGTATTTTCTGTCAAGAGGTTTTTTTTCTGGATAAAAGTCTGGCTTTTTGGTAAATGCCGAATTTTGCATTGAATGTTGTGGGGTGAAGGGGGAAAGGAAGGGATGTTTGTTAGTACTGAGCAGCCTAGATCGATAAAATGATCTGGGGAGAAAGTTCTGGCTTGTAATACTCATAGAATCATAGAATGTGTTGGGTTGGAGGGGACCTTTAAGTATCATCTAGTTCAACTCCCTGCAGTAAGCATAATAGTGTGAAGAAGAAATATTTCTCTGGTTCAGTGGCTGTCACTCCTGGTAACACAGCTCCTCAGAGCTGTCCTCTGGCCTGAGACCTTTCTCATATGCCCTGCAGTCTTTGGTATCTTGCTTTTTCTGGGTTTTCTTTCACCTCTAGTTCACAGAATCACAGAATCACAGAACGTGAGGGATTGGAAGGGACCTCCAAAGCTCATCCAGTCCAATCCCCCTGCCGGAGCAGGAACACCCAGATGAGGTTACACAGGAAGGCGTCCAGGCGGGTTTTGAATGTCTGCAGAGAAGGAGACTCCACAACCTCTCTGGGCAGCCTGGGCCAGGGCTCTGTCACCCTCACTGAGAAGAAGTTTCTTCTCACATTGAAGTGGAACCTCCTGTGTTCCAGTTTGTGTCCGTTACCCCTTGTCCTATCATTGTTTGTCACCGAGAAGAGCCTGGCTCCATCCTCGTGACACTCACCCTTTAAATATTTATAACCATGAATGAGGTCTCCCCTCAGTCTCCTCTTCTGCAAACTAAAGAGCCCCAGCTCCCTCAGCCACTCCTCACAAGGGAGATGCTCCACTCCCTCCATCATCTTTGTAGCCCTACGCTGGACTCTCTCCAGCAGTTCCTGTCCTTCTTGAACTGAGGGGCCCAGAACTGGACGCAATATTCCAGATGCGGTCTCACCAGGGCAGAGTAGAGGGGGTAGTTAATCAGGAAGAGGCAGGGATGCTAACTGCTCAAATACACATTTCTGTGCACACCAAACTAGGAGTTTGTTCCTGGAAATAGCAGATTGTCTGTGTTAAATCAGTCCCACTCAGTGCACGAGCTGAACCAATACCTTTCCACATCCCCCTCCTAATAACCATCTCAGCCAGACACCTACTTGCTTCGGAAGTTATCCATGGTGCTCAGGACCTTTGTCAGCTCTGACTCCAGGTTTTCCTGCTCGTAGTTGAGCGCCTTCATCTCTTGGTTCATTTTGCTCATGTACTGATCGTAGATGGCCCTGATGTCCGACTCAGAGTGGGAATTGTTTTGATCCTTCAGGAAGTTCCACCTTGTCGTCAGGACCTTGTTCTGCTGCTCCAAGCACTGGACCTGTGGAAGAGGTTTCAGAAACGTTAGTGACACAGTCAAAAGCAAAGGTTTTGGATAGGAGACATTGGCCTGGAGACCTTCAGAGTGGCGAGAGGCTGCTGGAGCCAGCAGAGATCTCCAGGTAAGAATGAGAAATCTGAAGATCAAGCTTGAGGATGGAGGGTTATAGGGATTTTTAGAGGTTTTACACATTGCCTACTTATTAATTTCTTGATAGAACATGTTCATGTCAAAATGAGTGAGCGTCTCTTATTAAGTCACTGAAAAATAAGAACTGTTCAGTGCTGGTCTGAACACACTGAAGTAAAGGCTAAAAATCCACCGCAGGTCATGCAGAGACATTTAGGGTGAACAAAACTCTGATTTACTACCTTGGGGTGGTACAGACAAAGGTAACTCCTCCCAGATCTGTAGGATTACACCATGGTGAAGGTTAAGTAGTGGATCAGAGTCCTGGTTTGTGTTGCAGAGCAACAAGGAGGAAGGAGCTCGCCCCCCATGTGGGGTCTGTGTGTGTGTGCATGGCTGCTTGAGAGAGGATGCACTGCATTCTCATCCACCTCATTTGATAAATCTGGCACTCTTTTTCTTCTGATATTCACAGTCCTAACAGTAATGCTCAGTGTTTACCAGTTTTTATCTTCAGAGCTCTTGGCTAACGTCAATTAATTATCTAATTGCCACCTCTCTTAGTGCTCGGGGAACAAAGCTGACCTACTCCAGTCACGTTCTGGGTGGTGATTTGTGAGTTGCCTCCAACGGCGTCCTCTGCTCTGTCATGGAGATGATTCAACACTGATACCATGCCCTGTGTGGTGTGAGCAGCGGGGTGCAGGTGCTATCAGGCCTTGACTTTCAGCTTTTACTTTAATTTTTTGTGGACCCAAATAGCATCAGTGCATTGAAGAGCTCTTGATGCACATGGTGGGAGGCCAAGTCTCACTGTTTGAGACCTAATCCTTTCTTCCCTTTATCTCAACATGTGGCTGTAGACATCCCATCAGGAGTCCAGTCTGCCTAGCTGCTTTGTCCTGGCACAAACCAGTGGCCCACTGGGTGCATGCAAAACTGAGAGCCAGAGGATGAAGCTGCAGCAGAGCCAGAAAAGGACATTGCAGGTGGCACAAAGAAGTGACCCCCGAGGCTGTTTGCTCCCTCCATCTGAGGTATCTCAGGGATGTGATAGAGCATCCCTCAGCAGGGCTGGGATCAACCTGTGGGATTGACTGTAGGGAACAGCCTCTCGTTTTAAGGCAGCTGCCCCGTTTGCTGGTGGGGTGGTAAGGAATTGAATGCATTGGCTGCTGTTCTAGGTCCATCTTTGATCCCCAAATCAAGTCTCTGTTCCTAACCTTGCTCCTAATCCTTAGCTGCTCTTCTTTGTCCCCTCCCTAACTCTTCATTTTCTTTCCTCTCCCCAAACCATACCCATCCACTGCACTGAACCACTTATATCTTGGCTTCTTAGTGTCCCTCTTAGCAGAAATTCTTCCTTGCATAGTCTTTTAACGTGAGTTTTGCAGCGGAATCACCCAGAACTGGCCACGTTTCCCAGAAAATCATGCCTAAAACCAAAAGAAGCGATCAAAGCCTGATCCTCGGAGGCCTCTATCTCTGTGCTGCTCAGCCTAAAGGTTGGTGCTCCATCACTTGGCCATTCCCTGTCTTCCACCAGGACGTATCTACAGGCTTGGGGACGAATGGCTGGAGCTACCAGGCAGAAAAGGACCTGGGGGTGCTGGTGGCAGCAGATCCCAGGAGCCAGCAATGTGCCCTGGTGGCCAAGAAGGCCAACGCCATCCTGGGCTGGATGAGAAGGGGTGGTTGTAGGGCAGAGAGGTTCTCCTGCCCCTCTGCTCTGCCCTGCTCACACCACAGCTGCAATCTTGTGTGAGCTCTGGGCCCTCAGTGCAAGAAGGACAGGAACTGCTTGGAAGAGTCCAGCAGGGCCACAAAGGGATGGAGGGAGTGGAGCATCTCCTGCTGAGGAGCGGCTGAGGGAGCTGGGGCTCTTGAGCTTGGAGCAGAGGAGCCCAGGGGTGCCCTCATCCATGTGATCAATGTGGAAAGGGCAGTGTCAGGAGGAAGGAGCCAGGCTCTGCTCTGGGATGTCCAGTGCCAGGACAAGGGGCAATGGTCCCAAGCTGGAGCACAGGAGGTTCATGTGAACCTGAGGCCAAAGTTTGTGAGTGTGAGGGTCCAGAGCATGGCCCAGGCTGCCCAGAGAGGTTGTGGAGTCTCCTTGTGTGGAGACACCCAAAGTCCTGGCCGTGTTCCTGTGTGACTGCTCTGGTGACCCTGCTCTGTGGGGGTTGCACTGGGGGAGCTTGTGAGGTCCCTTCCAACTCCTGATATTCTGTGATATCTGGATGAAAAATAGATACAGGCAGATCTGGAACAGCCTGCTGGAAAACCATCAGCAGTGAACTCCTCACATTAGTGTGGTCAATTATCTGAGGAATTAGTCGCTCAGGCTTGAGACCAGCTGAATTCCTGATTAAAAAGACAAGTTCTCTTTGAGAAGGAAGTGTCATTACTTTCCTCTGGAATGAAGGCCTGAGGCAGGTGGCTGAAGTTTGCCATTTGATGCACCACTTGAAGCTACAGCCTTCAAAGCTAAACTCAGGAGCTGCTAGCACTCAAGTCAAAGCCACCCAACGAAGGTGGAGCGTTGGTATCTTCTGTCCATCAGGCCCTGTAATGCATGCTTATCAGCAGGCCACCAGGTTGGGTTTATCAGGAAAAGCTGGAGGCTCTCACTTCTTCCATCCCTGTCTGCACGGAGCATGTGGCGTGGCTCACGTACGTGTTGTCACCGCGTGGTCTTGTCCCATCTCCCCTACTCCCGTCCTTTCTGCTGAGGTTTCTGAGCAGGGCTGGCATGCACACAAACCCCCACCTCTTGATCTGACCATCAGGACCATCGGATCACCACCCCTGGGTGACTTCCAAAACCAAGAGTTCTCCAAATTCACAGTGTAGGGGCTGCCATGCCCCTCCATGCAGGGTCCAACCACCACACGCCTGTTTGCACAGATAGATGTGGTTGGTTCACAACTATTCGGTTTGGATAGATGCTATGGGAGATGGTTTCCCCCGCCCTTCTCCTTCCCAGTGTGAATTCAGGTCCCCTTAGAGATAGAGTTAAAACGAAAAACCAACACAAATCCTGAGCCATTGCAGCTTGGCATCGAGCGCCGGTATTGTAGACAGCAGTGAAGCAATCCTAGGAGATTACCATCTGTTTACAGAGCACCAGGGCTTTGCAGAAACCTGCCTCGGCTGGATGAGTTGTTTTCCTTTGAGAAAGCCTTCTGCCTTCTCATGGATCTTAGGAGATGAAAGCGACACTTTCTTGGCTACGCACGCAACCCCTCACAATAAAAACCGCAGAGGAGGGAGGTGGGTGGGGGGTCTCCCTTGCCCACCACATTGTTGTGGAGGTGGATTTCCAGCTCTCTTTCAAAGCTGGAGAAGAATTGGAGCTGCTGCCTTAATCGGCATCACTGCCCATGGCTGTTTGTCCACTATGGGGGCCAAGGCCTGCTCTGTCTGGCCCCACATCTCTGGACCCCAATGTTGCTGTTTAGGGTCCCCGAGGGCAGCGCTGTCCGCCCTCTCCAAGGGACCCATGCGGCAAAGGAGCTGCATGGGCTGCCCGGTGCCGCTGACCACGGATGCGGCCTGGCTTCCCCTAGAGGTGATGCTAGCCCTTGTGAAAACAGATAGCGCTGAAGGAGTAACTAATTGGGTAATTAGCTTAATATTCAGAGTCTGGCAATGGTTAGCTGAAGGCCTTGATAAGTCTCCTTATCAAAGAGACACTGGTTAGTGTCTGCTTCCCCACCACCGTGGTCCTCAGCAGCTCCCCTTACCTTCTCAATGAGGGTCACAAACTGGTTGTTAAGCGACTTGATGTCCTCTGTCTCCTGCTGCCGCATGGCTTGGAAGTCGGGGTCGATGTCGAGGTGCACGGGGGTCAGGAGTCTCCCGTCGATGGAGAAGGAGGGGTAAGAGGAGCACTGGTATCCACCATCTCCGTAGCCATTGCTGGCCAAGCTGTTGGGACTGCAGCGGCCCAGGCGATCCGGGGACGAGCTGGCTGCTCTTCCTCTGCTCATCTTCCCTGCCACCTCCCAGGAGGAGAGGGAGCCACTGGAGAAGGCTGAGCAGGGGTTAGTCATGCTCGGCTCGAGGCTCTGCAGCTCCAAGGGAGGGGAAGGGAGGGAATAGGGAGAGGAATTAAATAAAAAAAAAAAAAAAAGAGATGAAGTTTTCTTGCTCCTGCTGCCTCAAAGGGAAGGAGAGTAGTGGCACGGTGAGGAGTTTGGTCGGCTTAATTCCTGTCTCCTCAGCTCGTGGGTTGGCTAATGAATTACAAGCACCTGTTCTCCTATGTTCATTAAACGGAGGAGGGTGTAACCGTTGATGTAATCCAGATCAACCTGTTGGCTTTTTATTTTTTTTTTCTTCTCTCCCTCCTCTCTCTGTACCCTCCTTTCTTCAGGAGCTTGTTTGTGTGGTGAGGGCATCAGCACTCGCAGCAAAAACAAATCACTGGCAGGTAATTTGCTGGGCCACAAGCGGCTGCTTTTCTCATCCTTAAATGGTGAAGAAAGCGATCAGAGGCTGCAGCAGGCGCGGGGAGGACGGCTCCGAGCGTGGCTGCTGTGCTCATATTTGGTGCGTGGGGCCTGGGTTCAACCCATGGCTGGTTTCCAGCCAAAATTTGCTGGGAAGAATGGTGATTTTTTCCTTTTTCTTTGGGGTTTTTTTTGGTCGGTTTTTTTTTTTGTGGATGGAGGAGTGTTTAAAATCATAAAGAAATAGCCTGAATTGGCCAAGGGTAGAAGTTTGGAAATGCATCCCAAGCTCATCATGATTAGAGGTGCTCGTGGTCTTCCTTTGACCACACAGGCACATCACAGCAGGTTCTGGTGCTCTGAGTGTTTTAGGTCTGATTTTGAGACCCCTTGGCTATGGGGACCACGAGTCCTGAGGTTATTCAGTCATTACTCTTGCAGCAATGGAGTCCTTCAAAGCCTCTAGACACCAAGTTGGGTCTCCAAAGCGCCCAAGTCCACCTTTAGCCACCACACTCCTTGAAAACCCTTTAAAAACTGGCACTGGAGACACCAGAAACCACTGTGTTTTAATGAATTCTAGGCTGCTACGGTGGCACGCCCTTAAATACCTGTTTGGACCTGGGTATAAATCAATGCTGGACATGGCTTTCTTGAAAGCATTTTCCTCCTTTAACTCAGTTTCTCGTGTGAAAAGTCAAGACAGAAGCGCACCCATTTCTGCCTCTTTTTGTCTGTTCTCAAGCAAAGGAACCAACTTCTCCGGCCAAAATTGTGAATTCCCATTTTGTGGGAAAGCTGCTGTTTTCCAGTCTGGTTCTGCCCAATTTTGGAAGACAAGCTGAGAATTTCCCTGGCAAGTGAAGGGAAGGAAAGCTTGGATGCGGCGCAGACCTGCTTCAACAAGTAACGTCTGTGATGATGTAGTGGTTTCTGTCTTAAGAAGGACTTCAGAAGGAAGATGACCCCTTCCAGTAGGGTTAACCTTTCCTTTAAGCATAGTTTCAGTATTTTGCCAAAACCCATGTGCTCTCCCGTGGCATATCCATCTCACCAAAACACCAGGGAAAATGTTTCCCCTGATGAACCATTCGAACACCAAGTCCCTCACTCAACGGATCCTTGTCGGGACTTCACGGTTTAATCCTGATGGTTTATTTTAAGGATGAAAGCAACATTTCAGGCTGGGAGATGACAGAGCTCGTGGCTCTTGCAAGGTGAGATGAGATGATCTGGCTCATTGTGGGCTGCTCGTTTGTGGCTTTGTGGTTGCAGGCACATCAGTGTTCCCGATTAGCATCAGGTCATGGGGTCACCTGGCAGGTTTTTGGCTTCTTCTGGTACCGAGGACGATTGGGATCACTCCCTAGGAATGATCCCTCTGAGGGAAGGACACAGAGGTGAAATGAGGCCGGTTCAATTTAATAGTGGCTGGGAGCAGTGTGGTGCAGGTGGGATACTGCACGATTATATTTTGCAAGATCCCAGGTCATCACATCAGCAACCACATCTGCCTGAGCATCAATCCCTACTCCTTTCTCCTCTAACTATCAATTCTTTCTCCCCCTCACTTTCTTTTTTGTCTTGATATGGAGTTTCTAACACTAGATCCAGCCAGTGAGCATATCCAGTTTGGCTGAAATGGCATCTCCCAATGCCGTATGGCACAAACAAGCCCTCTTGGTGATCAGATCTAATTTAAACGTGTTGCTTGGTGCCTTTTGAGTCCTGGTTCCTGGATAGCACTGTGTGCTGTGTCCCACATCCTCTCCATTTGGTGCTGGAGGCAGGGACAGAGTCATTTTACCAAAGAAAGATGCAGTTTAACAATTGACCTCCATTTAATGCATGGGAAAGGCAGGGTGGAAAGTGCTTTTTTAGTAGAGGGCCACTTGAATCTGAGATGAGCTTTTCAAAGTCCTGCTTCCCTCCAGAAGGATGGGGATGATTTGCAATAACCCTCGAAGGAAAATATTTGCAAGTGGTCCTCTCTGGTGGCAGAAGACCTTGCAGAGAGAGAATTAAGCTGCTTTCTAACCTCTCCTTTTTGGGTGCCAAGGCTGAAGCTCCTGCTGGGTGGAGGGGCAAGGTGGGGATCCAAAGGTGAATGATCATAGGATCACAGCACGGTTTGGGTGGGAAGGGACCTTAAAGCTGACCCAGCCCAGCCCTGCAGTGAGCAGGGACATCTTGAACCAGCTCAGGGTGCTCAGACCCCACCAAGCCTGGCCTTGAACATCTCCAGGGATGGGGCCTGCAGCACCTCTGGGCAACCTGGGCCAGTGCTCGACCACCTCATGGGGAGCAGCTTTTTCCTCAGATCCAGCCTAAATCTGCCCTTTTCCAGTTTAAAACCATCCCCCCTCGTCCTGTTGCTCCATAGTGAACAGCTCTGCCCCAGTTTCTCACAGGCCCCTTGCAGGTCCTGGAAGGTCACTCTAAGGTCCCTCCACAGCCTCCTCTCCTCTCCTCTCCTCTCCTCTCCTCTCCTCTCCTCTCCTCCAGGCTGAACACCCCCAACTCTCTCAGCTGTCCCCAGAGCAGAGCTGCTCCAGCCCTCAGCATCTCCATGGCCTCCTCTGGTCCCTCAATGTCCTTTTTGTGCTGGGGACTCCAGAGCTGGACACTGCTCCAGGTGGGGTCTGCCCAGAGCAGAGCAGAGGGGCAGAATCCCCCCCTGGCCCCGCTGCTGTGGATGCAGCCCAGGATGGGGTTGGTTTTGGGCTGCAGATGCACAGTGGTGGCTCATGTCCAGCTTCTCATCCCCAGCACCCCCAGGTCCTTTTCCTCAGGGCTGCTCTCTATCACATCATCTCCTGTGTCCTGTATTGATGATGAGGGTTGCCCTGACCCAGGTCCTCCCTGCCCTTGGCCTTGTTGAACCCAATGAGGTTCTCCTGGACCCACTTCTCCCTTGTCCAGGTCCCTCTGGATGCCATCCTGTCTGTCTCGCACATCAACCTCACCACCCAGCTTGGTTTGGTATCCACTTGGTATGCACTGCTGCTCATGCCCATGGGTCTTAGAGGGGCCTTAATTTCAGTCTCACCGGGGCATTGCTCCATGATGATGCCCAGTGGCCTGATGCTGCAATGCTACTGCTCTTTGGTATCAGAGGTGCCCATAGCAGTGCAGAAACCTGTCACTCCACGTGTATGGAGAAGGGTGGGCTGCTTTACACAGTGACAGGGTTGTTTTTCACACAGCTGCATGTTTCTCTTCCTTGCTGCAGGTTTCTCTTCCTCGCTGTCTTCCCTGCCCTGTGGGAGAGGCCATGCTGAGTCAGGGTGTTTCTCCCCTTCCTGCCGATCTTCTCGATGCTCCTCCTCAGCCAGGTATTTGGTTCAATTTGGAATGGGCCGGTCTCCAAAATCGGGCTTTGAGATTTGGCGCCAGCCTTCTTGGCTACGCAGCGAAACAAGCTGAAAAAGAATGGGGACAAGAGGAAGGTGGAGAAGGCTCTGGAGGATGCGATGAAGGGTCCAGACACAACCTAAACTGCTGTGTCCTCTACTCCCATAGTGTTGCTGCCTGTGTTCTTGTAGCCTGGTCTCCTGATCCATTTGGAAGGAGTCACAGAATCACAGAATCCCAGAACGTGAGGGATTGGAAGGGACCTCAAAAGCTCATCCAGTCCAATCCCCCTGCCGGAGCAGGAACACCCAGATGAGGTTGCACAGGAAGGCGTCCAGGCGGGTTTTGAATGTCTGCAGAGAAGGAGACTCCACAACCTCTCTGGTCCAGTGCTCTGTCACCCTCACTGAGAAGAAGTTTCTTCTCAAATTTAAGTGGAACCTCCTGTGTCATCACCATCCAAAGATGCTGAGTGGTCCTAGGACCTCCCATTCTGGATTTGTTTGGAGCATGGCAATGCCTTGCTTTGAGTTTGCAGTGTGGTTGTTCAGTAGATTGAGGCTTGGGGTGCCTTAAACCTTCACAGGATGTTTTTTGGGGGTCCTTAAACCTTTGCCGAAAAATCTAGAGAGTCTTGTCACCCTTCCCTTGATACATGGAGATTTATTCCAGCCATCTGGAAAATCAACTTTTAGGGTCATTGGCTCAATAGATATATGCATAGCAGACTAATTTATTTATCAAGGTTCCGTAAGTAATTGCTGTTTATTAAGTATGAAACATAAACAAGGAATCAGCGTTTGCCCCAAGGAATCTGAATGATGAAGGTTAAGCAAGACAGCGACTGGGCTGAGGGATGCAGAGAGCCACGGAGGTAATGAGTGGGTCAGCAGGACTTATTTAAGCTTCATGAGGCACGCGAGGAGCGTCTGGAGGGGGAAACTGTGTGTGTTGAGCTGAGTGACGCATTGCAGGGGAATGAATGGCTGATATTGTGGCCACAGGTAGGACAAGACAGAGCAGCTGCAGGTTCCTGGTTCCAGAAATCCAGGTTCAGTCTACCGAGTTCACTTCAGGTTTAAAGAGAAAATAAGAAGAGGGCCTGTTTTGTTAAATGTTTGTTTTGCTTTTGTTAAATTTGGCTGCCGGCCTTCAGCCTGTAACAGGAGAGGCATTCACTTGCTTTGTGGTGTAGAATCACAGCATGGTTTGAGTGGGAAGGGACCTTAAAGATCATCTGGTCCAAC